GTCTGACTTTTTGTATTTTTAAGCCATTAACTTTGTTTCTCATCAATTTAGGAAAACTACTCACAGCCAGTGCTGGTAGTGATCAACCAATTGGTGATTACTATGGTCCACTTGTGGTTGTTTCGGTAGTTGCTGCTTTGGCAATCATGTCCACAATTGTGCTGTTACTCATTCTAACCAGAAGACGTGTACATCAAACGGCGTCGATAACGCCACCACGCAAAAATGATGCCGCCTATGACAATCCCTCGTACAAGGTGGAAATACAACAGGAGACAATGAGTGAGTAGTGTAAAAATTTACTTTTTTATTGAAATAAAAATTTAAAACATTTCTATTTTACAGATCTGTAGCATTTCTAAGCTACCGAGGCGTGCGTGACGGGATGCAATGCCTCAACAGGCCTGGAAGCCTAAACAAACGAATCCTAGTTGCATTAGAAATTAGGAACGCTCTCTTATTTTTTCCAGTTAATTTTTTTTTTTTTTTGATTTAAAAAGTTTTAATTTTATTTTATGTTTTTAATTATATACGCTACAATTGTAAATATTTTTGCATTCAGTTGCACTACTGAATCCATATTTTGTCTTCTTCATATTTTGTCGTCAATGAATTGATTAACCCTTATGTGAAACAAGCTACTTTTTTGTGTTTCTATGGATATTCGAATGTAAACAGTGCCAACAATATAGAATATTGAGAAGAACTTTTTTCTGTTTTGGCATGCACTTGACTAAATAGATGTTGTAATTTTGTAAGAAATATGTATATGAAGTACTTAACGGTTGTAGTACTGTGCATAGATATTAGAAGAAATAAAAAAAAAATGAAACATATTTTCGATAAAAGCCATTGCAAAAGAAAATTTTAAGTAGTTACTTTAAAGAAAAATTAAACTCAGTTTATTTTTTCCTAGATTTAGGTGTCAAATTTATGTATAATTTTTTAATAAATGTAAGACTTTTTTTGCTTTCACGTTTTTCTTGCTTTTAATCATGATTCAAGGGCAATTCGCTTGTAAATAGATAGTAAATAATAGAGACTTACAAATCAGAACGTAAAATGAATTAAAACATGAACTAAATATTTGCACATGCATAGCTGTAATTTACCGCCAAAAGTTAGCAAAAGCTTAATTTTATAAATCTTTTAGCTACAGAGACACGTTTGTATAAATTTTTATTGGAATTTAACTTGTTGAAAACATTTTAACTTTTTTTTTTTAATTACAAAAATAACCGTCAGCATCAACAACTTTACCAAATAATGTTAATAAGAAGTAGCAACAATTTCAGTAAACTGTTTTTAATTTTCCAAAATTGATTTTATTTATTTTAGTCGTTTCCCAAATTACAACAAGAAAAAAAAAATTATGTTTTAATTTTTTCAACTACACATTTGGTATTTGATTGCAATATTTTTAACCCATTAAATTAGTTAAGAAATTATATAATGTTCTTTGTAATTTTTACTTATTAATTTACTTGCAGCTACTACGAAAGTTATTTAAAAAAAAAATCTATTTTCATAAAATTTCTTCCCTTGCACGCACAAATCCCGTAATGGCGTTGTAAATTTTAGCTTTACTCCATACATGCATACATATGTATGTAGTTATTATCGGAATTACTTATGTATATAAGTATAATATAATTACAAATTAAAAAGAGAACACAGTCCATGTATTTATCTATATATATAAATGAGCGAAAGCATATAAATACACAATATATATATATATAAATGAGCGAAAGCATATAAATACAAACATACATGTATAGCTAGTTTGTATCCTAACCCAACATTGAGTGAGCCGCCCAAACAAAACACCAGTTGCAATAGCCAGTGACAATCCCAAAAATTTATTAACAATTTAAGAAAATTAAAAAAAATATGTTTTTTGAACAAAACCCTTTAAGTGAAATGAAATGTAATAGTGCTTTCGCAAAAAAAAAAACAAAAACTACATTTGAATACTCATATCCAAATACATACATAAGTGATTGTATGTTTGTACAGTTGTAAGCAAAGAAATTGAGCGAAACCTTTGAATAAGTAAAGTAAAATGGTTGCCAATCGTTAGTGGAGAGCAAAGTTTAAGATTTTAATTTAAGCTGATATATAATATGAATCATGTAATATGCGATATACATATGTATACTTTATAAAATAAATAAAGACGATAAAATATACTTATAAATAATAATAAAAATAAATATATATACTTTTTATAAATCGAAAAGGACAACAAACACAAAAGTAAGTGCAGGAACTGGGCAAAGGAGATGACATTGGCAAAGATTTTTGAGTTTAATCCAAAACGATAAACGGTTGCAGTGCCTAATAAAAATAAAAAACTTTTTCCTAATAAACAATCGTGGTACAAAGCTCAATAAAAATATTAAAAAAAAAATAAAAAAAAAAAAATAAAAAACGTTTGTACATGCATAAATTTTGCTGAAGATGTGCGCAGTTTCCAAGAAAAATATTAAGGATCTGATCCGGTACAGAGTCTTTGGCGGTATATGTCATAAAACACTTAAAAAATAAGAGACCAAACCTTTGATGCGTTTAAACTTTAATAAATCTAAAAGTAAGCAAGTCACTTACTTCATGGTTAGATCAATCTTTTAACTTTTTCAAAAACTACAATTAACAAACTGAGCACATTGCATATCAATAAAAGACCACAATCTCTGTGGGAAGATTTTCCCACCTTAAGGGTATAACCTTGAATAGAGGTTATTAAAGTCTGGCTGGGTAGAAAGAGCTTCCTTGAAACTAAAAAATTTATTAAGATTTTGTTCTCTTACATACATAAATCTTGAAAGTGCTCGCTCCGAAAAATTGTTCTCAAAATTTACAAATTTTTCCAAGAAGTCTTCGCCAGAATTTGAATGCGTCTTTCTCCTCCCTTCTTTGTATTCGTAAGAAATTAAAATGATTAATATTAGGTGAATTTATTGCTTTATGGGTATATGCTTTGTAAAAGCCCAGCAGACCACCGTTTGAACACTGTCCATGTCAAAAAAAAAGAAGCGCAACCTATTCATTGAACCCCCCTTCTTCTCTTAAGCGAAGTACTTTAACTCAACACTCTGGGTGCGTTCCAAAATGTCAAAATACAAAGCATCAGTCTCTTTTATTTCTAAGCCACACTAGAAGAAAAAGCCTAACTTGCGCAACCTAGTAGAAAACTAGCATCTAACCGTGGTTGCGCACATTTGGCATTAAAATCAACTGAGGTCTAGAAATAAAAGAGACTGATGCTTTGTATTTTGACGTTTTGGAATTCACCCTTTTATTGAAATAACAATCGCACTCCTGCCAAAATTTAAGAACCCGGCAAAGCCAATTGTATTGTAATTGTATGTATTTAAGCACCTCCACGGTAAATCTCATCATTACTTTTTTTAATTAAAGCATAGTAAGTAATTTCTTTTTAACTTTATTTAAAGATTTATTGCCTTACCTTTCTAAGCAGCTATGTATTTAATATCTAATCATGTATTCCATATTTTCACAAATATAGTCACTTTTTCACAACATCTTTACTAGTGGGGAAAATAGTATTTTCCGCTAGATTTTTCACGCACACTATAAACACTACAAGAACACTTTGTATTCGCAAACGTTATTATTTACATATATATTTCATCAGTAAACTCTTTCCACTCAATTATTATTTGAACAAAATTATAAATATAGGAGATTTATTTAAAAAAAAAAAGGCACTTCACACTTTTTACGGAAATCAACTAATTTCGACGACAAAGAAAGCGGAAACTGTCAACCAACGGATAACTTCTGCAGGGTTGCATTTCGTCATCAATAATATTGACGATTCAAACAAGATAATTATGTCCCATTTCACATAGGCCAACCATTGACTTGTTTCTCGGTAATTAATTGATTAAAGGAATTGGAATGTTAATAGGAAATCTAAAAATGCCCCACGACTACATAACCGTACCGATTCAAATTAATGTAGATGCGACCGAGGACTGTCACTCCAGCAGGGCTTCCAAAAAAAATTCTCAGGGAATATTGATGGCGTTACAAAAACAGCCATGGAACTTTCTTTCACTACTACTTAGATAAAGGTAAATATTCTACGGACGAGGAATGGTAAAAGAAATATGCGGAAATAGTAATTCCAAGTTTCTTAACCAAAATGTTACCTAAATTGTTGGGTTTATTTAATAATTTAACTAAGACTTCGTTAGCTTGAACACTTTTGTAAGCGGATGCAGCGCTGAACGAAATGCTGCCAAAATTTCGTTATGAACAAATTTTTTAAATTATATATGTACGTACATACATATGTTGATGAAAGTGCCAAAATAGGTAATAGTTTGCTATTCTCAGAGTATTCGTAGGATGTCTGTTGTATTAATGAAACAGAAAATTAGCGCTGTGGCACTCACATGATCATCGATTCCACATAACTAGTATCATGCGGGGAAGCCCGACAAAGGACCACCGCTTCAACGTACCTCCAAGATACTACAAGTATAACGACAACATTATCGCTGGGACCACCATATAAACAAGTATCGAGTTAATCAGGCAGGTTCTGCAATTTACTTTCGATGGATTTGCAATAAGTCAGCTTTGAATTCAAATTGGCAGGGGTTGAACTTCACTCGGAAGTGAATTGCAGAACCTGCCGGAATATGCAAATATTATTAATCATTACAAACAGCCGTAAAACTAAAGAATAGTTGCCAAAAATTAAGTGCAACGTTGTATTAATTTTAAGTGAAATACAGCCTTTTATTACCAAGTTCATTTAAAATGCAAAGCATTTATTTATATGTATATACAATGGAAATGCCATTTGATTTATAAGCCTCACTTATGTATGTATTAATTTAAAACTGATTTAAAAAAATATAAACCATGTACTTTTGTGGAATACATGCATACATATATAAGAAATAAAACCACATATACGAATTGGAACTCTGCTATAACTAATATTTAAGTTTTCGAAACATTCACAACCTCCTTGCACTGCTCGATAACACTATTCTGTTCCGTATCACTCGTGGAGGAAGATGACGCCGTTGTTGTCGACGACGAGTCACTAGCATCCTCGCCACTCTCCGTACCGCCCTCATCGTTGACATCGTCATCGTCAACATCCTCATCGTCTTCATCATCACCATCATCTTCTGTATCGTCGTCGCCTTCTTCCTCTTCACTGGCCGAGCTGTCACCCAAATGTATGTCCGTAATTAATTCCTTCAACAACTCAGTCTCAATTTCTCCCAAATCTAAACGTAAATGCTTCTTGCAAACATCTAGTAGGACGTTTTTCAAGTTGCGCGCCAGCAATCGTAAATGCATCTGTCCACTGCTATTATTATCCGCGACATACCGTATATAATCCTCAATATAGTAGCGATTG